ACTCACTTGAGCCCAGGAGTTGGAGGTTGCTATGAGCTGTGATGCCACAGCACTCTACCCAGGGGGATAGCTTGAGGGTCTGTCTCAAAAAATAAATAAATAAATAAATAAATAAATAAACAAACAAGGAAATGTAATTATTTATATAATTATTTCTTTGTTGACAGACTCAGATAATATAGTGTCTATCCACACCAAGTCAGAAACTTAGATCAGTGTTTTATCCATCATATTCAGAAAATCAGGCCAGGTGCAGAGGCTCACACCTGTAATCCAGCACTCTGGGACGCCAAGGCAGGTGAACTGCTTGAGCTCAGGAGCTCAAGATCAGCCTGAGTAAGAGTGAGGCCATCTACTAAAAACAGAAAAACTAACTGGGCTCTTGTAGTCCCAGCTACTTGAGAGGCTGAGGCAGGAGAATCACTTGAGCACAAGAGTCTGAGGTTGCTATGAACTATGACGATAGGCACTCTACCCATGGCAACAGAATGAGACCGTCTCAGAGGGAAAAAAATCATATTTAAAAAATCAATAGGAATAATAACATTCATAAAAGTATTTCACTGACCAGTCAGGACTTTATTATTTTTAATTCTCTGAAAAATAACATCAGTGTATCAAGTTCAAACACACATAGACAGACATACACACAAACACATGAACTATCGTCTATTAAATTATTAGTCTATTTTAATGACCATCTATCAGACTAGATAAACATTTGACCAAAGAAATATACCCTAATGGACAGTTAGACACCATGTAACTTGTTACATTTCAGTGATAACTATAAAAAGACACTATACAAATTTCCATACCCTGCTAGAAACTAAATCATATAATTATTGCTGCCACCATAAAGTTTTAGCTAATAGCCAAATACAGTATTAGCTTTATTAAAGTCTGATTTTAATACATAAATTTAATAGTTATTAATATTAATATTTTATTAAAAATACATCCCCTAAAGAATACATATTAGTACTCCCCAAATCTAACAGCAGAATTATATTTGCAGTACTATTCTAAAATAGTGGATAGAGTAGAAAAATTACTAAAAGTTGGTTATAATTTTATGAAAAACCTTGAGATCAAACCAATTAAAGTGTTACAGAACCCCATTATAACAACAAAATCAAATATAGCCTTTGGGAATAAAAGACAGAAGGAAAAAAAAAAAAACCAGACTTCTGGAAGTCTTATTAAAAAAAAAAAAAAAAAAAAAAGTGAGAAGCAGATGAGGGGGTGGGAGGGGAAAAGGCCAGACTGATCCCCAGGTGAGAGGTGAACTTGGGTTCATACAGTCTGGGAAAATGGTTTTAAGGGACCCCAACCACCAAAAATAGTCCCTCAGGATCCCACCTGAAACCTCAGTGGACTTTCTGGTACCATGAAAAGTGCCAGGTATTGGGCAGTGCCTATAGCTCAGTGGGTAGGGTACTGGCCCCACATACCAAGGGTGGCAGGTTTGAACCCAGCCCTGGCCAAACTGCAACAAAAAAATAGCCAGGCGTTGTGGTGGGTTCCTGTAGTCCCAGCTACTTGGGAGGCTGAGGCAAGAGAATTGCCTAAGCCCAGGAGTTGGAGGTTGCTGTGAGCTGTGATGCCACAGTACTCTACCAAAGGCAATTTTTAAAAAAGTGCCAGATGTAGGCTCTGGAGATAAAGACCCTGATGAGGCCACCAATGGGCAGAGGATCCACTGTGGGACTGCCAGGCAGGGGTCAGAGATTGCTTGGCCACAGTGCCTAAAGGGGCCAGAGAGTACTGGGGAGGAATTGGCCCATGGATCTTGGGGATAGAAAACCAAAGGCTGGGGCCAGAGAGGCACAACCACTGCGGCATCTGGAAAGAACAGTGCCAAGCCCTGAGCTGCATGAGGTTGGAGGAGAGGTGGAGGGAGGGCAGGAGTCTGAGCTCAAGGAGATGGAGCCAAAGCTACCAGGGGCTGCCAAGCACAACTGGCTGAGCATGGGTCCTGGAAATCTGGGACCAGGGGAAGGGAAAGGGTAGCAGAGAAAGGGTGGGGGCCAGTACAGGAGGAGAGACTGCCAAAGAAACTGGAAAGGGGTGGGGTGCAGTGGTTCACACCTATAATCCTAGCACTCTGGGAGGCTGAGGCTGGTGGATTACCTGAGTTCACCAGCTAGAGACCAGCCTGAGCAAGAGCTAGACCCAGCCTCTTAAAAATAGTAGGGCATTGGCTCGGCTCCCATAGCTCAGCAATTAGGGCGCTGGCCACATGCACCCAGACTGGTGGGTTCGAACTGACCCGAGCCTGCTAAACAACAACAAAAATAGCCAGGTGTTGTGGTGGGCGCCTGTAGTCCCAGCTACAAGGGAGGCTGAGGCAAGAGAATTGCTTGAGCCCAAGAGTTTGAGGTTGCTGTGAGCTGTGATGCCACTCTATGGAGGGCAACATAGTGAAACTCTGTTTCAAAAAAGAGAGTGTGTGGAGAGGCAAGGAGGGAAAAAGGAAGCAGAATAATAGCAGCTCAGCCTTATGGAAAGAAAGTGGATGGAGCAGAGCATAGAATGGGTAGGGGGTGAGCAGGGCCTAGACCCAGGGTCTGGACTCCCAAGTTTGGCAAAATACCCCTACATGAAGCTTTCCTCTTCCTTCCCTGGCATCACAGGGCACATCCACCTGCCGCATGAGCCAAGCTTGCCAAGAACCTCCTGGACTGAGGTCCTAGTGGATGCAGGATGTGACATGTCCCAGAATCCTCCAGTCAACCAGTCCCTCTGGAGGTCATTCACTTCACCATCAGCCTCTGAGAAATCTGTCCATTTGTCTCTGTCAGAAAGGAAAGGAAGGTGCTAGGGTAGAATTCAGTGGAGAGACTCATTCTAGAAAGATCCCCAGGGAGTAAGATGCTGTAGTCCCATGCTAACAGCTACCATATGGCTAGGAAACCAGGTTAGGCACTGTCTAATCTAAATCTCATTTGCTCTGTATCACACACAACACGTGCTTGCTCACTCAGTGCATGCTCACACCCACAGTGACAGGAAGCTAAGGAGGTCATTGCCAGGTTCTACATTGCCAGGCTTTCCATGAACATCTGGGTTTCCCCATGTCAACAGAAACATGCTCAGATTTATTTCTACACGCATTGGTCTGTTGCCATGGAAACATCCAGGCTTCTAGAACTCTGGGCACAGGGCCTGCCCCCTGTGGTATAGAGAAGGAAAGGAGAGATGAAGGGTGATAAAAAGAATGGTGGAAAGGCTCCTGGGAAGAGGCTGGTTGGTGGGGCACGTCCGGCCTTAGGTGACCCTTTGCTGTCTCCTCGTTCCCTGGCACCATCTCCTTCTCCCCTCGGCCTCAGTAGATCTCTCCAGCCTGGGGGGTGGGAAAGAGATGTGAGAACAGAGGTGTATGACCAGCTATGAGGAGTGTAGTAGATCACTACCTGGGTCCTCAGGGGGCTTTGAAAGGTATCAGTTTGGGGTTGGGGGCTTGGGCTGCGGTCTAGCACTGTGTCCTGTACCTAGGCCTCCCTGAGAACACTGGGCAGTTCCCCAGGTCTGAAGTCCCTGGCTATAATGGCCTTAGGCCACGAGCTACTTCAAGGTCTTCACCCCTTCTTGTCAGTGCTCATACCCAGAGAACCTGCTTAAAATGGGTTTTCCAGGCTGTGATGTCAGATAAAAGAAAGCCAGCAATCCATCCAGCCTGTGCCACCTCCCTTTATGGGCAGAAACTGAGCCTACCTCTTCTCTGGAAGGAGACAGGGCAGGAAGAGGATGAAAGGGCCCTGGGGGGCTCCAGGCCATGCTCCCCAGATCTGTGGCATCCATGATGATAGAGAGAGGCTATTTCCAGGCCAAAAGCCCCCACTAGTTTCCTACCACCTTAAATTTCAGCTAGTACATGATCATCTCCCTGCAAAATGGCCCCAGTTTTTCCCTCTCTGAGCTGGATCAGGCTTATCTGGAGGAGGAAGGCACCTTTTGGTCCTGCCTCAGAGTGTGTTCTATGTCTAGACTGAAGGCAGTCCGGGTGAGAGAGGCCTGCAGGCAGAGAAAAAGCCCACAAGGTGGCGCAGCTCCCTCCCAGAGTGGCTTCCCTGCCGGCAGAGGACAGTCCTTTCCTGCAGTCAGCCTGCTCAAGGTTTGACAAGCTGAGCGCGTCATACTACACTCTCTAGAGCTGGAGGTTCATGAATAGAGCATCCTTGAGGGCAGAGAGGGCTGTGAGGATTCTCCATCAGTCTCTTCCCAAGCCCAGATCATCTGTACACCCCTACCACCTCCCACAGGAGATGGTAAGACATAAAAGGTACCCCTTTGGGTGAGGATCAAGCACCCTTCTGGAGCAGGAAGATTGCCAGACTTCTGGGAGGGCCTTGCAGCCCAAGAGGATACAGCCTGGGCAAGAGACTA